GTGGTGTGCTTTACACTACTGCATCCGAGGCTTTCAGTTGTACATGGTGATGCAGCTGCTCGGCCATGGAAACCCATTCCATGAAGCTCTCTACAAACTGTTGTTGAGCTAATCTGAAGGCCACACGTAGTTTGGAGGTCTTTAGCTGTTGACTCCGCAGACAGTTGGAGACTTCTACGCACTGTGCGCTTCAGCATGCGCTGACCCCGCTCTGTCATTTTAAATGGCCTACCACTTTGTGGCTGTTATTCCCAGTTGCTTCCACTGTTGTAATAGCACTAACAGTTGACCGTGGAATATTTAGCAGCAAGGAAATTTCACAGATGAACTTATTGCACAGGTGGCAACCTATCACGGTACCACACTTGAATTCACTGAGCTCCTGAGAGCGACCCATTCTTTCACAAATGTTTTTAGAACAGTCTGCATACTAGTTGCTTGACTTTATACACCTGTGACCATGGAGGTGATTGGAACACCTGATTCCAATGATTTGGAGGGGTGTCCCAATACTTTTGGAAATATAGTGTGTATATATATATATATATATATTTATTTTTGATACAGTTGACCACACTCTCCTAAAAAAAATTCCACTACTTTGGTATCTGTGACTGCACTTTTTGTTGGTTCTCATCTTACCTATCCCACCACACCTTCTGCATCATTTACATTTCTACCTCCTTCTCTCTTCTACCTTTTTCTGTTGGAGTTCTCCAAGGTTCTGTTCTTGGACCTTTCCTATTCTTGATCTACACCTCCTCCTTGGGTCTATCTATCCAAATCCGAACCCACAATATTTCCTCCCCCGTGTGCCCCTTCCCTTGTGTTCTCTCTCAAGATTGATGGCACAACTATCAATCTGTCCCTACATACCAAGGTGCTAGGTTTCATCCTGGACTCTTTATCCAACATCACAAAGATACTAATTCACTCCCTAGTTATCTCTCACCTCAACTACTGCAGCTCCTTCCTCATCGCTTACCTTTATATAGGCTATCATGACTGAATCAGACTCATCCAACCGTTCCTTTTTTTTCCCCTCATTGCCCATCCCTCTATTTGCTGCCGCTCATCCAGCTATTAAAACTCAAAATACTAAACAACTTACAAAGCCTTGTTCTTTTCGTTTCTCCCAAGACCTCCTGTTCTCTAGCTCTCTCATTACCTCCTCCCATGCTCACCTCCAGGACTTCTACTGAGCCTCTCCCATACTATGGAACTCCCTAACCCAGTTTGTCAGACTATCTCCTACTCTGTCTTTTAGGTGATTCCTGAAAACCCATATCTTCAGAGAAGCCTATTCTTCTACCACCTAAAACCTGTACTTTTATTTTCTCCATCAGCTCATCCCTCACAGTTAATACCGGTTGTATCTTTTGAACTTCCTTTTAGATTCTAAGCTAATAAACAGGGCCCTCTGATTCCTTTTGTACTGAATTTTATATTTTACTACTTTGGACCGTTTTTCCTTTATAATAATAAAAAATAAATCTAGAGACATTCATTAATATTTCTGCGAATTGAATGCACAATTTCTCCTAAAAAGAAAAAAAAAAAAAAAAAAAAAAAAAAAAGGTATTTACCTGGCTACACTAAGGGTGTAATATAGGTCTAATATAGCCTTTTTCACAGAGGGTGACTTCTGAATTCTTCAGGGGTGCCTTGACAAATTACCTAGTATTTGCTCCAAATTGTCAAAAAATTGTGCAGGTGGATCAGGCAAGCCTTTTTGTTACACAGAGCCACAGGTTTTCATTGTGCAACATTACAACTCTGGCCTCATGTGGATAATAGGTACCTCGAAATTGTGCATAATTTTAAAGGGTGCTTTGACTAGAACAACATTGACGAACATGACTCCAATACTAGCACAGCCCATGCTCAATATCAGCTCCATCTAGTGGACAAAAAGTATATTTTTCAAAAATATGTCCATCACAAAATATACAGCATTTTATCCACTGGATGAAGACGGCAATCATAGGCAGTCAAAATATTAGGGAAAACATTGTGTAGCCTGGACATTAGTTCAATAATTTTCTCAATACACCTCTTAGCGGTGTTGATATGAAAAGTTTTACTGACACATGCCAAAGTTGCAAAACTAAGTTCATGCATTAGGTTTGTTTTACCTTCAGGAAAGGGAAGGTTGGGGGGGGGGGGACATGTTTACATAAGGAATTGTGGGGAGGGGGTTAAAACAAGTGGCTGAGCAGCGTTTTTACTGACCGCCAACTGCTTCCCTTTAAGGTTCTTTCACATAGTTGTTCAGTGTGGATCAATTTGTCAATTTTACAGACTGAACTTTGAAATATATCTACTGTATGGGTGGGCAAATGTAAATAGATGATCTCTTTTCATCCTCCAACATCTGTGTACATTCAGAATCATTTATTTAAATAAACAAGGCTGTGTCTTTTTCGGTTTAGACGTATATACATTGATGTAAACAGACACTGCCTGTTTACGTCCATTCCATTTAACATTTAAGTCCATTTTTTTTGCAATGTGACTGGAACGCTGCTATAAGTTTCAAAGGCAGCAGCTGGAGGTGAAAACATACCATACCACTTTGCAGGAGGAATTATAGCATGTTGGGCACTGCCACCTGCCAAATGTGACCCATTCAAATGAACGTGGCTACACTGATACAGCATGGGAGTGTAGCGTTTGAATGGTTAAAGTAGAACTAAAGGCAAATGTATTTATTTTATTTTAAGATTTGGATAGAGTGGAGATGGTTTAGACCCCCTATCAGTTTTTATTGCTGTCTGTGCCCCCATTAGGGAAACTCACCCGCTCTTTTTGTCCTGTTTACAATTAGCATTTAATATATTTAAAAACAATATAGGGTCTGGGATTATAAATCCCATTTCAGTGTTTTGCAGATGACACCAAGCTGTGCAGTGGAGTAACGTCCTTACAGGATGTCTTCAACCTACAAGCTGACCTCAATGCACTGTTTAATTGGGCAACTATGTGGCAAATGAGGTTTAATGTTGATAAATGTAAGGTTTTGCACTTGGGGGCTAAGAATATGCATGCATCATACATACTAGGGGGAGTACAACTGGGGGAATCAATGGTGGAGAAGGATCTGGGAGTTCTGGTAGATCATAAGCTTAATAATGGCATGCAATGCCAAGCTGCGGTTTCTAAAGTAAAAAAAAATCCTCTCTTGTATTAAAGGAGGTATAGACTCCAGACAGAGAGAGATCATATTACCCCTGTACAGAGCATTAGTAAGACCTCATCTGGAATATGCAGTTCAGTTTTGGGCACCAATTCACAAAAAAAAACATTGGGGAAACTGGAGAAAGTACAGAGAAGGGCAACCAAACTGATTAGAGGCACAGAGGAGATCAGCTATGAGGAAAGATTAGAGGAACTGAATTTATTCTCTCTTGAGAAGAGGAGATTAAGGGGGGATATGATCAACATGTATAAATACATCTGTGGTTCATATAGCGAATTCAGTGTAGAGCTATTCACCCCGAGGTCATCACAGAGGACAAGGGGGCACGCTATACATCTGGAGGAAAAGAAATTTAATCTCTAAACACAGAAAGGTTTCTTTACAGTGAGAGCTGTGAAAATGTGGAATAGACTCCCTCAAGAGTTGGTTCTGGCCAGCTCAGTGGATTGCTTTAAAAAAAGTCTGGATTCTTTCTTAGATACACAGAATATAACTGGTTACTAACATTTATAGGTAAAGTTGATCCAGGGAAGATCCGATTGCCTCTCGGGGGATCAGGAAGGAATTGTTTTCCCCTGCAGGAGCAAATTGGATCATGATCTGCTGGGTTTTTTTTGCTTTCCTCTGGATCAACTGTGGGTATAGGATACCTTTTTTTTTTTTTTTAATGGTTGAACTGGATGACTTTTGTCTTTTTTCAGACAGACTATGTAACTATGTAGCATTGAAAGTGAAAGTAAAAGAAAATCCCACATTTTGGGTTGTCCCCACAAAAGTAATAGAGGGGAAATCTTCCAATGGGGACACTGGTTCTGGTGACCTGGGGTCCCCAGGGAGTTCCCTTAGTTTGCAAGAATTTCCTCTCATTTTCTGCTTGACTATGGGACAGAAAGCGAAGGGAAATCTCCCCAATGAGACAGAGATTATTATTATTTATTTCAGGTACTTATGTAGAGCTGTCAATTTACACAGCACACATATATATTTATTATTTCAGGTACTTATATAGCGTCCCTAACTCACATTCATACATACACATACTAGGGCCAATTTAGACAGGAGACAAATAACCTACCAGCACGTCATATATATATATAAATAAAATTGTACAAGATTGTGAAAAATAGGGGTTATAACCCTTTCTTACTCTATCCAAACTGAAATAAAAGTTTAGCCTATAGTTCTACATTATGTTTTCAAAGGCAGTGGCTGGAGATTAACACATACTAACAGTGCTTTGCGGGAGGAATTCTACCCATTCAGGCATTGCCACCCTCCAAACATTATTATTATACAGGATTTATATAACACCAACAGTTTGCTCAGTGCTTTCCAATATATAGGGAGACAATAGAGTTCTACACTGTATAATAATAATACAAGAGGGATAGGAGGGCCCTGCTCCTTGGAGCTTACCAAACATGACTGATTCATGTGACGGGGTAGCGCTGCTACAGCATGGTAGTGTGGCATTTACGGAGGGTTAACAGGTGGTGAGGAGGCAACATTTCTGATGTTTGAAAAGCGATCTGAGCACAAATAGCTTTTCAGAGGCCCAGCAGTCCTTGCTGCAGGTGTAATGGAGCCCATAGAATGCTGGGATGGAGCATTTCAGAGGGAAGCAGCACTTTAGCACTGCTCCAGCCAGAATGATCAGCAGAAAGACGGAATGCAGGCCAGGTGTCCCCACAGAGCTATAGCAGACACTTCTACCTTTATTATGGAGGTTAGAATACATTAAAGTGAATGAGCGGTGTATGCTGTGTATGAGGTACTCTGTGCCTCGCACCCCATGTCCTCCTCACTCGCCCTCCCGCTTCTTTGTCGTATCTTTGATCTCCTTCATGCCAGTCCTGAGCTCCTTCATGAACGTGTCCTTCACCCTCCCCATCTTCCGGCCCATCTCCTCCAGGTTCCGGGGAGCTCCGGCCGCCTCCTGGCTCAGTTGTCGGACGGTGTCGGAGCGGAGGAGGCGCTGGGCCGCGTCCTTGCTGGTCAGCTGGGCCTTGGTGATGGCGAAGGCGGTGATCTGGGCGGCTCTGCGGATAGGCCGGGACTCGGACAGCTTCTCAATCAGCTGAGGGTTGTTCAGGAGGCTGAAGAGAAGCCGGCGGAGCACCATGTCTGCCCTTCCGTGACCGGGCACCGAGCTGGCTGTAGATCCACCGACAACAGAGCCCTAAAGAGAAAGCCGAGTGATCAGTGAGGACGCATCACAGGTGACCGATCAATCTACTCACCTTGAGTCGCACCACTCACCCTGACACACGGAAAAGTATTTGCCCGTCTTAAAGATGGCGGCTGCGACGGCTAATGTGAACTCGGAAGTGATACTGCGTGCATTCTGCTCATTGGCTCGTCTCTGTCGTAATAAGAAGACTCGTATAACCACTGTCGCGCAGTGGTGGCTGGTGTGCTGGAGAAGTCGGGAAGATGCTGAGTATTATGAAGACCGATAGTTATGTGGAGCTGAGCCAGTACCGGGACCAGCATTTCAAGGTACCCCTCTCTCTCCTCCTACGGCGTACTGTGCAGCCGCCTAGTACACGGACGTGTGTGGGGCTGTGTATAGGAGGGAGCCCTCCTAGTTGTTGAATGGATGAGACACATCAGGGTACTTTATTTCTTTGTATCAGGTGAATGGATGGGACACGTCAGGGTGCTGCATTGCCCTTGTATCAGGTGAATGGATGGGACACATCAAGGGTGCTGCATTCCCTTGTATCAGGTGAATGGATGGGACACACCAAGGGTGCTGCATTCCCCTTGTATCAGGTGAATGGATGGGACACACCAAGGGTGCTGCATTCGCCTTGTATCAGGTGAATGGATGGGACACACCAAGGGTGCTGCATTCGCCTTGTATCAGGTGAATGGATGGGACACACCAAGGGTGCTGCATTCGCCTTGTATCAGGTGAATGGATGGGACACACCAAGGGTGCTGCATTCGCCTTGTATCAGGTGAATGGATGGGACACACCAAGGGTGCTGCATTCGCCTTGTATCAGGTGAATGGATGGGACACACCAAGGGTGCTGCATTCGCCTTGTATCAGGTGAATGGATGGGACACACCAAGGGTGCTGCATTCGCCTTGTATCAGGTGAATGGATGGGACACACCAAGGGTGCTGCATTCGCCTTGTATCAGGTGAATGGATGGGACACACCAAGGGTGCTGCATTCGCCTTGTATCAGGTGAATGGATGAGACACATCGGGGTGCTGTGTTCCCTTGAATCAGATGAATGGATGAGACTTTGGTGAGAACTGCAGGCTAGCCTCTTGCCTACTGACCATGGCCCTGGCATCTGAGGGGCTCCTGTCTTTGGTGTGTGCCTGGGGGGGCCTTTGGAGTAGTTTACTTTAGTTCTCAGAGTCTGTCTGTTTTGGGGAGACATTAACTTGAATCCAGAGGACCATGATACAGATTTGTAGTCTCTGTGTCCAAACTAGCACTGACTGCTTTCTAGACTCAGAGACTCTAAGAAAATGTTAATCAGCAAAACAGCCTCTTGCTGAGGCCAGTTGCTCTGATCTTCTCCCATTGTGTGCCTCCTAGGTGTGCATCCCCAGTGTTAATTGAGTTGCTTGTTTTTGGGCAAGTCCTTCTGGAGGTGCCTCCATGATGGGGTTAGACTGATGTCAGCTTCACCTCATCTAATCCGTGTGGAATGTTTATCCCAAAGTCTAATATTTGTTTTATTGTTCATGAGGGGATGGGTCCTATTTCTGGACTGTATAAAAACCTGTGTTTTCTGTTCCATAAAGAGTTCCTGTTTGGCATCTAAGCTAGTCTAGTCTAGTCTTGGGTGCAATGCTAGGCTATAATACCGTGGTCCTGTGTCCCAGTGGCGAGGAAGCAGTTCTCTGACAGGATTACCCAATCGCGGTGACAGGCGTTGCGGCACAGACGCACATCAGGGAGCTGTATTCCCTTGTATCAGATGAATGTATGAGGCACATCAGGGGGGCTGTATTCCCTTGTATCAGATGAATGGATGATACACATCAGAGCTACTGTGTCCCATCCATTCATCTGAGAAGTGGGAATACATCAGGGGGTTGTATTCACTTGTATCAGATGAATGGATTAGACACATCAGAGGGGCTGTTTCTGAGGCTAGACACATCAGAGGTGCTGTGTACCATCCATTCATCTGATACAAGGGAATACAGCACCTCTGATGCGTCCCATCCATTCATCTAATTCATGGAAATACAGCTCCCTGATGTGTCCTGGCCATTCATTTGATTCCAAGGGAATACAGCTCCCCGATGTGTCTCATTCATTGATCTGATACAAGGGAATACAGAACCTCTGATGTGTCCCATCCATTCATCTGATACAGGGGAATACAGCTCCTGGGTGTGTCCCATCTATTCATCTGATACAAGGGAATACATCAGGGGGGCTGTATTCCCCTGTATCAGATGAATGGATGGTGCACATCAGGGGTGCTGTATTCCCATGTATCAGATGAATGGATGGATTTCCTGAAGTACTGCAGATAACTGGCAGCTGTCACAGAGGAGATCGGCAGTGATCATCAGGGCACTGATCAATGCCCCCCAGCAGTTGTGCCTAGCAGTTAAGCCCATCAGTCAGGGCTGCCAGTCAGTGCCATCTATCCGTGACCATCATTTCTGCCCACCAGTGCAGCCTCATCAGTGAAAGAGAAAAATTACCTGTTTGCAAAATGTTACAATAGAAACAAAGAAATTGTTTTGCTCTTTTTTTTTGTTTATAGTACAAACAACTAAAACACCCAGTGGCGATTAAATACTACAAAAAGAAAGTTCTCTGTGTGGAAAAAAAATGATAAAAATGTCATATGGGTGCAGTGTTGCATGACCACGCAATTGTCATTCCAAGTGCAACAGCGCTGAAATTTGAAAATTGGCCTGGGCACAAAAGGGGTATAAGTGCCCTGCAGGCAAGTGGTTAAGGGGTAAATGTAGCACAGTTGGGCCCCTTTCACACTGGTGCACTTTTTGCTGCAAAGTGCATGAAAATTATTCCCCTTCAAATCCTATGTAATTGACATTGATGTGCTGCATTTTGAAAAGTGCTCCATCTTTGGTGCACTTTTCAAAAAGAGCACCAACAACGCACCTCCCATTGATTGCACACACGCATGTGTGATGTGGTGTTAAAAGAAGAGGCTACACCATGGTTAAAGTGGAACTTCACTTTTTCAATCAATATTGACTATTTGTAATCCTTATGCTGCTAGCATTAGTAAACAGATAGGAATGTATATCATATTTAATTGTTTAACATTTTTGCTTTACATTTCTTCACTTCCTGGTTTCCTTGCCTAGGCAAATGATGTCATACAGCCCAGGAGTCTTCAGCAGGGGAGGGAGTGTTCTCAGCTTAGCCAATGCTTGAGCTAGGGGCAGATGTATTCCAGGAAGTAAATGCTACATGAATCTGCCCTTACTCAAGATGGCCACTGCCAGAAATGCCAGGGTGTGTTTTTTTTTCAAAATGATTTTTCAGCAAAATAAAGCTTGGGTCTCTGGACCTATGGATGGATGGGGAGTTTGCTTTGAATATTAACAATGCATCAAATTCAAATTGCATTTTTGGTGCTCAGATGCAGTGAAGTTCCACATTAACACCGCCCCAACTTTTTTGAGACCTGTTGCTGCCATCAAATTTTAAAATGGCCTTTTTTTTAATTTATTTTATTTATTTATTTTCCTTCTCAAAATTGTAGTTTCTCAGTTTTTAAACATTTTGAATATTTTCTATTGTGGGTTTGAGACTTGCAGGTCATTGCATTCTGTTTGTTATGTAGATTTTACACAGCACCCCAAATTGTTTGGAATTGGGGTGTGTAACATACACACACTATTTATTTTATAATTATTAATGATAATATCCATTGATCTTTGTTTACTGTAGGGGAAAAGAGAAGACCAAGAGAAACTTTTGAAACTTAGCTGCACTTTATATGTTGGAAACCTCTCCTTTTATACAACAGAAGAACAAATACATGAATTATTCAGCAAGAGTGGAGATGTGAAGAAGATCGTTATGGGTCTGGATAAAATTAAGAAAACTGCCTGTGGCTTCTGCTTTGTAGAGTATCCTTTTTGCTGTCAGTTTAGTTGTGAAACTGTTATTTTGCAAGCCTTGCTGAACTGGCAAACCCAAGTGTCAGAACTTTTGAGGGTTCACATATCTGTGCATAGTGTTGTTCTAATTGTTGTTTTGGTGACACCATACATAGACAAGCTGATTTCCACCAAGGGTCATTCTAAAAGCAAACCTCAAACTAGCTGCAGCTGATCAAACAGAAAATGATTACAAATTTAGATGTTATGGAGCAGACATTGACTTCAAAGTGTGAAGTTAACTTCACGCAGATTTTCAGAAAAACTTTCATTTGCAATTCTATATCTAATGAATAGTAAATACCAGAGCTCCACCTGTTGTAAATGGTGAAAGTCCTCCCATCACAGATGCAGATTGGGCTGAATTTCACAATAATGCACCCCCCCCCCCTTCCCCCAGGCACTACCTTGGTCTCCTGTAGCTGAGCTCAGCTACAGAAGGACACTGCATAAGCATATTTGAGGGGCCCAGATAGCCCACTACTAAACTGGAGCTGAGAAAGGTTGTGCTGGGCACATGCACAGGGAGCACATTAGTGTGAAATTCAGCCTGTCCTGCAAATGGCAGGATGGAGATGAATTGTTCTCTATTCGCATGATTGTTTTGCCTCACTTTGAGACCCAGCAGCAGCTGCTATGCCTGTACACTGCAGTGACAGGCTGTTGGTGCACAGCTAGCAATTACCTGTTGAGATTGTGGCTGGGCACACTGTGGGGTTTATTTACTAAAGATGGAGAGTCCAAAATCAGACTCCCTTCTGCATAGAAACCAAACGGCTTCTAACCTCAGCTTGTTCAATGAAGCTTTGGCAATGAAACCTGGAAGCTGATTGGTTTCTATGCAGAAGGGAGTCTGATTTTGGACTCTCCAACTTTAGTAAATAAACCCCTGTGTCCACTTCAGCTGCGGCTGCTGACAGCCTGTTATTGCAGTGTACAGGCCCGACGGCCGCTGCTATCCACATGCATGGTCAATCCCAGCCGCAGGAATCTGTAGATTCCTGCCACTGGGATTTGCAGCATGAGACCTTGCCTGTGTAAATCGAGCTTAAAGCTAGGCATGCACTAGTAGACTTTTGAGTGAACATTTTTAGGAAAGTACATATAAATTCTTTCTTCTTCTTTTTTATTTTTTTTTTTTAAAATACATACAAATGTCATTTGAACGTAGTTCAAGATTTCATCTTTCCATCCTGCTCCTTCACATTTTCCCATAACTGCGATCAAAAGTGAATATCATTTTGATCCCATTAATAATTAGAAAAATGAATGAATGTTCTGACAGCGAAAAATATTGAATGTAATTCTACTAGTGTATACCCAGCTTGAGGAGCCAGTGCTTTTTTTTTTTTGGGGAGGATCCCCAATGGCTACATTTGTAATGAGGACTTCAACATTTCCAACTGGAGGAGCTATGGTATGTATTATTCATTGGATATAAATTGCATAGGGGAAATTTCTGAAGGTGAACTTACACTTTAACCACTTTCCAATGGGTGATAGCCGTATGACGGCTTCACCATAGCTGGCCAGTTCTGGGAGGGCATCGTATGATGTCCTCCCGTGATCGCACTCCCCGTGCACCCCCGGCACTGTGTATCGTGATCTGTAGGAGACGGCTGTGTTCTTTTGGACACAACGCATCACGAAGAAGGAAGGGGGGAAGGGCTAATTAGACAATTGTTTACATTTGTGATCGCTCTGCCCAATGACGAGTGATCACAAATGTAAACACAGAAGGGTCATGGCTGCATTTTCTCTCTTCTTTCCTCACACCAATACAGAGTGTGAAGAAAGGAGAGAGAATCTGTTGCTGAACTGTGAGTGTTCCTATCTGTGCTCATCCGTGCCCTTTCTGTGCCCATCAGTGCTACCGCATCACTGCAGCTTATCGGTGCTCATCAGTTACCATCCGTGCTACCTAATTACCTCAGCTTATTGGTGTACATTGGGGCCACTTACCTGTACACATCAGTGCTGCCCTATCAGTGGATCCTCATTAGCACCGATTAGTGCAGTGCATTTTAGTGCACATCAGTGCCCATTAGTGCAGCCTCATCACTTCACATCAGAACCCAGCAATGCAGCCCCATCAGCACCCAGCAGTGCAGCCTTATTAGAGCAGCCTCATCAGCACCCATCAGTGCAGCCTCATCTGTCCCAGTATGTCTAAAAAAAAAATGTTCCTGTGAGGAGGCTTACCAAATCCTAACCAAGACTGACAAGAGCAGCGTGGAGCTCTCGTCTGATTTTTGAGTTGGCTTACGAGCCCGTTTTAAGCAGTGGGTCTGCTACAGAATCAGAGGAGGAGGAAAATGTGCCCACCACCAAACAAAGGCATTCTCGTGAGGAGCAGGCTACCGCATGTACCGCAGTGGAATCCACTAGTAGAGCAGTGGCATCCACCAGAAATGGAGACCCTCAAAAAGGCCAGGTACTAGTGGAGTGTTACCTCAGCCCCAAAGGGTTAGGACCTATGCCGCTCTTCCATATGCCCTTCAAAACCCCCTATGGCTTCCCCCTAACTCTGGAGCAGCTAACATCCCCCTTTTACTGCCCAGCCAGGAGTCCAGGTGAACACAGAAAATTTTGCCCCCTCTGATATATTTTTTTTTTTTTTTTTTTACCGATTACTTAGTAAGTTCAACTGTGGACCAGTGCAGCCTCTATGCCCAACAATTCATAGCCAACAACCCAGATTCAAGTTATGCCCATACGAATGGAAGCAGTTATCAGTGGAGGATTCTAGAACCTTTTTTGGCCTCACATTTACTATGGGACTAACAAAAATAAATTACACTCCTAACAGTCTACCCACCCAATCCATCACATGCCAATTTACTCATCAGTCATGTTGTTCCTCCATTACAACAATAACACCCAGTGCCTTCCCCAAAGTGATGCAGCATATAATAAATTGTATACAATTCTGCCACTTAATATTTTTCTCCGAGAAATTCACATAATTATTTGTCTTGGACAAAAATATCTGCGTGGATGAGTCGCTTGTCCTCTTTACTAGCAGACTGAGCTTCAAGCAATTTATCCCCAGCAAAAGGGCCTGATATGGGGTTAAACTCTACAAATTATGTGACAGATCCACAGGGTACGTGTATGCCTTCCTCCTGTGCAAAGCAAAGGACACCCAGCGGCATCCTCCTGAATGCCAGATTACATTGGATCAAGTGGAAAAGTTGTTTGGGAGCTTGTATTTCCACTCCTTGAAAAGGGTTATCTATATGTTGATAATTTTTACAGCAGCTTGCCCCTTTTCCACAATCTTCACGAAGGAAAACACTAGCATGTGGCACTGTGAGAGCTAGTAGGAAGGGATATTGGCTATGAAGTGGAGAGACAAACGAGACATCTGTATGCTCTCATCAATTCACAATGACACCCACGTGCAAATCACAAGAAGAAATGGCACAATCCAAAAAACCAGAATGTGTCCACAATGATAATTTGTTCATGGGGGAAGGAGAGTCGACTTCAGTGATCAGATGATCCAGCCCTACCTTGCTGTAAGAGAACCCACCATTGGTACAAAAAAGTCTCCATTTATTTTTTTCAATTTGGCCATTTATAATACATCTGTGATCTACCGGAAATCCACCGAGACACCCATATCCTTTCTCCACTAGCAGGAGGAAATTGTAACTGCCCTTTTGTACTTTGGACACCCTCCAGAATGCATTTGCTTAGATGCAGTGTGCAGACTCAACGAATGCTATTTTCCCCGTACAAAACCTTCCCGGAGAAAAGGTCAAAGATGCATAGGTGACTGTATCTGCCATTACCATACTTTTCTACAATAGTAGTGAAGTATGGTAAACGTAATTCTTAATTTCCTGCTATTCATTCCTCAAGGCTCTGCCTGCTCCTGAATTAACTCTAAGCTGTTATTTGACCATGCCGCTGCCTAAACTGACCATAGCTCTGCTTGCTCTGAAACTGACCCTGGCCTGTTCATTGACTATGCCTCTACTTGCCGTCTGAACTATCAACTATGTTTCTGCCTTCCATCTGAACTAATTGACCACATTTTTTTTGCCTGCCGCTTGGACTGATATTCTGCCCTGCTACTTTAGTAGGATTCAAAATAACACAGGGGTCTCACAAATGTGAGGGGCTTCAGAATAGTTTTTCGGAGTGGAGAAAAATAAGTTTTTGGTTTTCTGTGTTTCGTGATGCTCGGAAAAGGGTCTGTTAGTTTGGAGGCTTCGAAGAGATGGGTGGGACGAAGCCTCTACCCCTGTGCCCAGGTCTTACCTGACTGAGGCGCTAAGCCTGATATTACTGCCTGCTGCCAACTTATTTCCATCATGCCTCTGCCTGCCGCATAAACTGACCACACCTCTGCCTGCTACCTGTACCATGGACCATGTTTCTGCCTACTACTGGGACTGATATTTTGGTGCCTGCCTACTACCGGGACTGATAGGTGCTGACCATGTTTTTGCCTGGACCAATGCTTTGGTTGTGCTGAGGATATCTGCCTGCTGCCTGTAGACTATGGAAAATATTCCTGCCTGCTGCCTGGACAATTGCTTTTGATGTCGCTGACCACGTCCCTGCCTGCTGCCTGGACCAGTGCTCTCCTCTGTGGACAACTGCACTGCTAAAACCTCAAGTAATCATTTTTTTACCCTTTGCTTAGCAGAATGTATTTTGGGGTGTAATTCTTGGTATGTACATGATATGTGTTAGAAATATGAAGGGCCTTCAAAAATAAGTTGTCTGCAAATTAGATGTGTAATTTACGTCCCTAGAACACCTGATGGTGCTACTTGGATATTGGGTCTCTGTATGTGGCCAGGCTGTTTAAAAAGTCTTACACATGTATATTTGCCATACTCAGGACGAGTAGCAGAATGTATTTTGGGGTGTAATTTTTTTTTTTTTTTTTTGTTCTTTACATGCTGTGTGTTAAAAATAGCTTAGACATAGACAATTTTTTTTTTTTTTTTTTTCACAAAGTTTTTTCATTTTCTTTCCACATATTCCAAAAACTTGTGGAAATAAATGACATGTTCAAAAGACTCATTGTGCCTCTTAGAATATACGTGTGTAATAACTTCTTAATTTGACAATTTTATGGGAAAAATAAATCTTAATTCTCAAAAGAATTGTGGGCAAAAAATTACGTCACAAAACTTGCCATGCCTTTTACTAAATACTTTGGAATGTCTACTTTCCAAAAAGGGGTAATTTTGAGGGGTATTTGTACTGTCCTGGGTTGTTAAGGCCTCAAGGAATGAGATGGTCCGTCAGTACATCAGGTGTGATCAATGATTGGTACCGTAGCTTGTAGACTCTCCTAGCTTTCATACATGCCAAATATTACACTGATTTGTGTTTTTACCAAAGAAATGTAGCCGTATAAATTTTAGTCGTTTTTGAAGAAAAATTACTTAGTTTCTGTTATAGCATTTGTTATAACATGTTGCAAATAAGAAAAACCTATTTTTTTTTTTTTTTTTTTTTTTTTTTTTTTTTTTTTCCATTTAGTGCAAAAAAATAAAAAAACCTAGTGGTGATTAAATACCACCAAAAGAAAACTCTTTGTGTGAAAAAAAGATAAAAATGTCATATTGGTACAGTGTTGCATGAACGTGCAATTGTCATTCAAAGCTGAAAATGCACCTGGGCAGGAAGGGGGAATAAGTGCTCAGTAGGCAAATGGTTAAGCATAGTGATAATATTTATTGGATATTTGCGGTTAAGTGATTTTACTAGTTGGATATTGCTATTTATAATGGTAAAAAAAAAAAAAGTTTTTTTTTCCTTAACTCTGCCTCAAGATACTACACCAGAGGTGACTCTGAAAATGCCATGAGATTCATCAATGGTACTCGCTTAGATGACCGGATTATCAGAACAGACTGGGATGCTGGCTTTAAAGAAGGAAGGCAGTATGGACGTGGCAAGTCGGGTGGCCAGGTGAGAGGGGAAAAGTCTCACAAACCAAAGCTCCTGTGTGATTGGCATCTGAGAAGTTCAAACCCCTGTTTTTACTCCCTAGGGCAGGGGTGGGCAAACGTTTTGACTTGAGGGCCGCAATGGGTTCATATATTGGACCCGGGGGCCAGACCAAGAGTAGATGAATGATGTGTATGTGTCATCCATAGTAAGTATAGTAATATTCCCCCATAGTAAGCATAGTAATTCATCCCCCATATAGTAATTCATCCCCATATAGTAAGTCATCCCCCAAGTCCCCCCCCCCTGTGTCAATTCACTTACCTTTGCTCCGCGCATTCCTCTCGCCGTCTTCCCGCGCCGTTCCGGTGTAGCATGAAAATCTGTCTCCTATGAGGATCTGTCCCCCTCGACGTATCTGCGCATGTGCCAGTTTCAGGCATTAGCAGCTGATCGGCGATCTCCGGCACATGCGCAGATACGTCGAGGGGGACAGATCCTCATAGGAGACAGATTTTCATGCTACACCGGTCTTCAGGGCGGACTGTCAGAGGAGCCTAGCTCCCCTCACGTTCTCCGCGGGCCGGATTAAAAGGTCCGCCGGGCCGTATACAGCCCGCGGGCCGTAGTTTGCCCATTGCTGCCCTAGGGGATAAAATTCATATGGCAGTTGATCCTATTCAGATTTGTACTGTCATTTCTAAGCAGCTTGGTCGGCTAACCTACAATGGAACCTTCAAGTGGCACTAAAGCTTTGTTTTATTTTTTCTTAAATTACCAAACCTTTCTATACTTGCCTGCTCTGTGCAGTGGTTTTGCACAGAGCAGCCCTAACCCTCTTGTTTTCAGGTCCCCACCGGTGCTCCTCTGGCACAGTCACCTAGTGTGTTTTGGTATTTGTTTTCTTTGAGTTAACAGGCCCAAAAACGGGATTTATTTTTCCCTCAGGCCTTCATGCTAGTTGTAGGGGCCTCCTAGTATATGCTGCTCCATGATTCCAGGAACTGTGGACTTGGAGAGGGGGCATATATGGGGTTTTTTAGGCTACTTTTGTTAGAATCCTAGTTGTGGGACCTTCCCTCCCCATCACTTTCTTGCTTGTCCCCAAGATCCCATCTCCACTGGAGTAGTAACTATCCCTGTGGGTGCAGAGGCTCTAGTGGAGCCCTCCCTTACTCATATTTTAGTCAGGCTCCGAGCCCTTAGTGGCTGTCTGAGCCCCTGAAGTATGCTGCTGACTTGGCATGGATGGCCCATGGCTGCTGGCATCTCCAAATCTGTTAGAGGGAGATATTTATGGCTGAAGTAGGTTCATGCTCCACCTCCCTGGGTATCAGCAAAGTTGGAGCAGAAGCATCTGGAGTCCCAAACTTCAATTAGGTGATGCATGTCTGCTTAGCCAGGTGAAGCACTATGCATGGGTCAGGACAGAATGGCAGTTTGTTATGCTATGGGTCCCCCTGAATGGATGGCAGTATGGTGGGTGTATGAGTATACCCTGGTGCCAGCATCCACAGACACCAGGGAGGGAGTGCAAGTGGGTGGGAGGTGGCACAGTAGGCTGACCATACTATGGGGAGGCACAGTGTGGGGTACCCATGGGAAGAGGTCCTCTCTTTGGGTGTTGGTTGCTATTGGTGTTTGCCTCTTACAGATGCAGAGTGAATGTGCTTTTGTGTTCTTGTCCACCATTGGTGTGGCAATTTTGAGGTAGGGGCTTTAGTCCTAACAACTCTCAAGCTGCAGAGCATAGTGCCAGAAGCTGCAACCTGTTAACTTCTTCGTACATTTGTGCCTGTGCAGGGCTACTGATGTCTGCTTACTCCTATTTTTATTGTTGATTACATTCTCCTTTGCAGCTGGGGTGGGGGTAGGGGCTTTGCTGTGGTTTATTCAAGACTTTCTGTGCTTGGTTTTGGGCAGTAACCCACCTCTAGACTGAACTAGAAACAAAATGTGAATCCTGCAACATTTAGTTATGTAAAAGTTTTATAAATGCAGATATAAAAAATATATTTCCTTTTTTATATGTACTTGCCTTGTAGCCCTGATAAAGGTGGAGTGTGTTTGACACCTGAAATGTGTTGACTGCTTTTGCAAAATTTTGAACTCTTGGACATTTTTTTTTTTTTGGTGGTTCTTCTATTTGGACTACATTATTAAAGTGGAAGTAAAGTCAAAACCTAACTTTAAACCTACTCTTAGCCACATTCTAAGCCTAATCTATCTAGTCCTGTAAAGAAGAAAAATCACTATACGTATCTGTTCTGTAGCTGCTCCAGTCTGGTCCCATACTGAGCTGTCAGTGGCAGTTTCAGTGTGTAGGCAGCTGACAACAGAAGCCCCATAGTAAGTCTCCTGAGTGACTTCACTTTTCTCTATTGTTGGCCGTCTCCAACACACAGGGGGTAAGATGGAGACTAGAGTGGTATACGAGATACTGGAAGTATAGCACCCCCCTCTCTTTCTTTACAGGGCTAAATAGGTAGAATGTGGTTGAAAGTAGGTTTAGAGTTAGGTTTTGCCTTTACTTCTACTTTTAAGGTAGCCCAGTTATTTTGAATGGGCATGACCCATTAGTTTCTATATTTTTTGCTGCGCACTGCATCACATGGCATGTCACCGTGAATTGGTTGGCCATAGATTAGCCATTGTTTGTTTTGTTGTTTTGGGGTTTTTTTTCCCCCCTCCAAACAGCCAGCAGACTGATCAAAGAACAAATTGTATTTGCCATCCACACAAGCAAGATGGATAGAGGAATCCTCCCTGCTGGGACTTGGTGGCCAGGTTTATTTTCGAGGAAAATAAAGCAAACAATTTGTTTATAAAATCTGAAAAGTTAAATGGGTCCATTGAACTTGGTTTATCCTTTTAACCATAATCCTTTTAACAGTAGTTTAACGTATACCTGTGTGCTTATTATTATTATTATTATTATTATTATTATATTATTATTAGGGATTTATATAGCGCCAACAGTTTGCTCAGCACTTTATGCTGATAGACAGCAGACACCTAGGGGTACCTGCATGTTTTTTTATATACTGTAGCTTCCAGAGAAATGGAAAGCTAAGCAGACGTGCTGTCCAGTAGCTTAAGGTATTGGAGCTGCATACTAGACCTGAGAATTGTGTGACACTTGGACTCCTGAAGCGCACATGAGGTTATGTAAATGTGCCTGTTTGTCTCATTGGTTTATCATGATTAGATTGTAGAAGGTATATCACAAGCTTGCTATAAAGAACATTTGTGCTGGCTAGGAAACCTTTCATGAGAGAAATATACAGCCTGGCACTGATCTCCACTTCTAAAAGTGCTAGTTGCCTTCCTGTCTATTTTATCCAGCGCTTTTAGTCACTAATCACAATTGGTAGAGGTGAGGAATTCTGATAACCCTGATTCATCCACCTGCTAAAATGAAAAAGAAAAAAAATTGCTCTGTATTTTGTATTTTATTTTTTTTAAGGGATATGAAATACTTATCTTGTATGGGGTATGATATGCAACATCAAAGCAATTTAATACAGCTACATTTTTTTGTTTTTGTCTTTTCAGGTCAGAGATGAGTATCGTAAAGATTATGATGCAGGAAGAGGAGGCTATGGTAAAGTTGTACAGACTTTTTGAAGAAACCCACAACCAAGCTCAAAATATTCTTGGATGTGCAGTTTATTTGTGAAAACAGTGTTTAAGTGTGGGGTTTTTTTTTTCTTTTTGTTTTGATGTGAATAAGGGTGTGTTTTGCTCATTTGGCTTTATTTTTTAAGTCCTTCTACATGAATATTAAGGGGCATATACACTTATTCACATTTTTAGAATAAACCTTTTTAAAAAAAAAAAAAAGCTGTGAAGTTGTGTGGGGATTTATTTTTGTAATCTACGTAGTACTGGCACAAGTGTCATATCTTTTGTGTGTTTGACTAGCAGCTCTGTGATCTTTCAACTAAAAATGGCAACCACCCCAACCTATGATATTTAGCCTTTTACAGGAAGGTGCACATGGAAGGGCAACACACACCACAAACAAACAAGATTTCACAGCACACTTGCCCGTCTGTAAAACAACCAAATTGCTCCTAACCGTTTATGGTAAAAAAAAAAAAAAGGAGTTTGTTTGTTTGTTTTTTGTTTGCACACATTTGCAAATATATGTGTAAGCTGCAGTGCCCATAATGAGAGCTCTCTGTATATACTGCGGTTCTAACTCTATAATTTTCAGAGCCTCCATAGTAGGGGGTGGACTCTCTCCCTGGCACACCTGCCCTTAACCTATCCATTGCTATGTGCTCCTACTTTGGAGGCTCTGAAAATTAGTTAGGACCACAGTATATACAGAGATCCCTTGTCTTGGGCACAGAACGTGGGCTTACACATATACTGTATTTGCAAATGTGTGCAAACAAAACACTGTCTTTTAACAAACTCTTAGTCAGGGTCCATTCGGCTGTTTGCAGGCTGGCTGGTAAGTGTGCTGTTCTTTCAACTTTGCTAGAACAATCCCTCCAGTGTTTCCTATGAGGGCTAAACCTGGCATATTTTCCTATTTTGCACTCCCTCCAGTGTCTTCCTATGAGGGCTAAACCTGGCATATTTAGAACATGGATTATAGCTTCTAAAAACCAACAGTAGATGCTATTATGGGTGTTGCCTTGGTTATATGTGTTAAGGCCTTGTGTATATGGGCAGTTTGAAGCTTCTGACGTAAATTGTGGGTATATTTCTGTGCCTAGGAGCTATGGCTGTAGAGTACAGCTGTCCATGCTAACAAATGGCTGTACGCAGGTATGTTCCTGGCTTGTGTAAACTGGTGCATACATGTGCATGAGTTTTATGCAAGCACTGGTTATACCCACATACAAACTACATAGCAAAATCCAGGCTAAATGCAAAAATATGTAGACTGTGTCTTTTTTATACACTCGCAGCAAAAACCTGCTGCGAGAAGAAAAAAAACTGTGTTCTGAAAACACTACATAAGTACTGCTGCACTACTAGTGAGACTCTTTTCCAATATAATTTGTCTTCCGTCACTGTCTTGCATGAAAGTGCCAAGGATGAAACTTTATTATTCTGTGTCACCAAAATTTCTGTGACATGAGTGAGACTTCTCTGAATGATAACCCAAATCAACCACCAGCATATTTGAAACAAAGGTTTAACAGAAAGTTGGATCTCACAGCAAAGAGGTCAGTACAAGCATGAGTATGGTCATGTAAAAACATTTCCATATACCCAAATAAGCTACTACCTGTATTATGTGCAGCGTATGAAATTGTAAGCATCTGGAAGTGGCACCAGTAACGTAATTCAAAATTTAATTGCCTCCCGCCTTGCCTATAGACATATGATGGCCAAGTGGGTGCACTGCTATCTTGAGTGGATGTCATATACCGTATTTTTCGCCGTATAAGACGCACTTTTTCTTCCCCAAAACTGGGGGGGAAATGTCAGTGCGTCTTATAAGGCGAATATGGAGCGGCCCGGTCCGGTATTTCCACCGCGGCTGTGTCAGAATACCGGGGCTGGCCGCTCAGCTCTGCAGCGGGACCTTACCTGTTCCTCTATCCAGCGGCGTGCTGTCTTCCCGGCTTCTGTAGTGTGGGCACTGGGCATGACAGCCCGGGTGCCCAGTGCGCATGCGCGAGAAGCGGTGCGCTTTGTGAATGGTAAGGCGGTACGTGGGACACATGACAGATCCCAGAAGCCGCCGGACCAATCACAAAGTGCAAATGCTTCTCGCTCATGCGCACTGGGTACCCGGCTGTCATGCCGAGCGCCATTACAGAAGCCGGGAAGACAGTGCGCGGCTGGATCGAGGAACAGGTAAGATCAAACAAAAACTCTGCGGAAATAAGAGCGGGTACCTGTCAAATTCAGGTACCCGCTCCCCACCTCCCCAAAGGTCAGCAGTCATCTGTACTGTCCGCAGTCTCTCTGGTCATCCCTGTGCTGTCCGCAGTCTCGGTCATCCCTGTGCTGTCCGCAGTCTCTGGTCATCCCTGTGCTGTCCGCAGTCTCCGGTCATCCCTGTGCTGTCCGCAGTCTCTGGTCATCCCTGTGCTGTCCGCAGTCTCTGGTCATCCCTGTGCTGTCCGCAGTCTCCGGTCATCCCTGTGCTGTCCGCAGTCATCCGGTCATCCTGTGCTGTCCGCAGTCTCCGGTCATCCCTGTGCTGTCCGCAGTCTCTCCGGTCATCCCTGTGCTGTCCGCAGTCTCCGGTCATCCCTGTGCTGTCCGCAGTCTCCGGTCATCTCCTGTACTGTGTCTGCAGTCCATTAGTTCAGAATTTTTTTTTTTTCCTGTTTTCTGCCTCTATACTCAAACCTAGGTGCGTCTTATGGTCAGGTGCGTCTTATACGGCATACGGCAACGTCCTCCTGGGGTTGTTCCCCAATCTGTCAGCTGCTGTGTCCACCAGTCACAGCGGATGACAGATCAGTGTACTGGGCCGCTGCTGGTGCCATGTGAAAGCTGTGACCAATCACATAGCAATTTGTGTTGATCTCTGGTTACAGTGAGCACATGGTACAGACACGGCCAAATACAGCCCATCTGTACTATGTAATTTGCTGCGGCTAATCACAATAGTACATACTGGATGAATAGATTTCATTCATAAAAAATTATTATCATGGTTATAAGCAGTTGTAGTGTTATTTTCTGGTCAAAGTACGTGTTAAAAAAAAAAAAATACATAGAGGCAGTGGCCCTGATCAACACCACACCAGTCACAAGAAGACTGCTGTATTGCACTGGTGACAGTATATAAAAAAAAAAATTTACAACTTCAAAACACTTGCTCTTACTAAATACGTTGGACTGTACTTTCCAAAAAGGGGTCGTTTGGGGGGTATTTGTACAGTCCTGACATTTTTGGGCCTCAAGAAATGAGAGACTGCGATTCCAACTCCTTTTCAAGTCGCACCAATTTTGAAAGTACTTCATGCACTACTTTTTGCAAGTTCATCTGCATGCATAGACATCTGTGCAAGAAGTCACACATGTCTTCCAAGTCACACCTGAAGTTGCATAGACATCTGTGCAAGAAGTCACACGTCTTCCAAGTCACACCTGAAGTTGGACTGACATCCAACTTTGAAATTGCGTGACTTCATTTGAAATGCACAATTTAAAAGTCTGATTTGGTGTGACCAAAGTCTGAGTCCCACAGTGGGAATACTAATAAAAAAAAAAAAAAAAATAGATGCGATTTCCAAGTAATTAGCCTGTGCGCTAAAGGGAGAAGCAGGAGGATTCCAATCTGGCTGTGGAATGCTCCCCATCTTTTAAAGTCATGATGAAGGTTTGGCAGTGGTGTTAGCAGATCTCCATCTTCTATGGCATGGGTACTGTGTAGATTGAAGATCTGCAAGTACACACTGCTAAGGAGGAAGAGTAGAGTGACAGCACTCTTCTCACCTATCTGCACATCGTGTTTAGGTTGGAGCAAAATTTGGCCACCATTGCTAATGACAGAGAGCTGGTCCAGAGGTTTTCATCAAAGAGAACATAAATGAACTGTTCCTTGGATGTCTAATCAGTACTCTGCATTTGTGCAGACATCAGCTCTATGTGGCACACCAATTTCAGAGTCTTGCTATAGACCTTCGCAGCTAAAGCACTATGCTCTAGACATCTCCATAATGGTGGGACCTACCTCAGAGGTAGGAGTTTATTCCATCCTGACAAATCAGAAGATGACTGCTAACACAGGATGGAGGGCCAAGCTAATTGACAAACTGGGATCTAAGGTTATAGGTCTGTAACATCTGGTGACTGGACAATTGCAAATAGAGGGCATGTCTCCTGGAGTGCCCCCCCCCCCCCCCCCCCATAACCCTATCCAACTTTCAGAGTCCTCAAATGGGTAGAAAGCAATGCACAGTAACAAGGCGTTGGTGAGGATAGCCTGTGTACTGTACACAGAATTATGGCACTTACAGGTAAGTCAAAATTCCTTTTATCTTGTACTAATTGTACTATACAGGACACCAGCAATTTATTGTACACCATGGGATGCCCTCAGGCAATGTATACAAAAGGTGGCCAACAACTAGAAATGAAACTGTGCCAACAGGTACAAAAAATTACAGTGGTCCAGGACACAAGTTCAGTGTCACTGCAAGAACATTATGGCCAAAAGCTGCATCCACAGAAAATTGGACAGCCACCTGGTAAAACACTGAGAAGGTATGAACAGACTAGATGGCAGGCTATAGGCCCAGAATACTCCTACAGATTTGATGGAGTGGGCACATAAGAGTGCAAGAGGAGGTTTTGTTTAGGAGCATAGACTTGCAATCAAGTTTCTTATGCAGCATGCAATGGTGGATATTGAAGCCTGGTGCCCATTATGAGGTCCCAAAGAAAGAACAAACAGGAAATATTCTTGTTCTGAATAAAGCAGTAGCTTTAAGGTACACTCCGGTGGCGTGGACTACATCCAGAGAGAATTCCTTTGGATGCTTAGGCGCAGGCCACAAGGAAGGCAGAAAACTATCCTCATTGAGATGGAACACTGAAATCACCTTTGGAAGAAAGAATAGTCTTGGGCTTAATACAACCTTGTCATTATGAAATAGGAGGAAAAGCTCTTTTGCAGGAAAGGTCTGCCAGTTCAGAGATAA